TTTTCACCTTCTGAATCATTTGCTTCATCAACATCTAAAATAATCAACCTTTAACTTGTATAAAAATATACGTTTACTTACTATTCGATTTTTGAACTTCTTCTTTTTTTTCCCATACATGTCAGCATTGATCAGGAGTAGCTGCGCCAAACATAATCAAATATATAATACGATTAAATTTTAATAAGCAATTTATTTTTAAAATGAAGAATGGATAAATATTAATTATTCTTCTCTAGAGAAACTTAAGCTAACCTCGATATTCAATTGTTGTTTCCATTCGACGACTATACACCATTATTTCAGCTGTATCATCATAAACACGCTTCACACTCGAACGATGAACAATCATACATTCACCAGTTTCAATTACTTGACATAAATAACATTCCGGTTTCGATGCACTTGTTGTTGGTGTATAAACCTTTTTTTGAGTTCGAATTCGATTATTCATTTAATAATAAATGTTTTATATCTAAAAGATTTCATTATTCAATAATGTTCATCGTAGAATGACAACAGGTATAACAATATGATAATCTACACAATCAAAAATAATACAATGATCTAAAATTCGATTTACAGGTACAGGTTCATAAACAAAAAGACATCGTTTAGAAACAACATAAAATAGATGATTAATAGGTTTATGTAAAAATTCATGATACGGCAAAGATAATAATAAATCACTGAATAAACAATGAATTGGATGTTGCTGAATCAGGGTATAAATAGAACTTTGAATCTGGAAGAACATAATAATTTTACCAAATGAATAAACACCATCATCAGTTAGATGAAAATATCTGACGAAATAATTGACATTTTTTTGTCGTTGTTTGTAATAAATCGAATGATATACTTGGTGGTGAATTGTACATTGTCGAAAAGCAGTTAAACAAGTATTAATTGACATACAATTACATTCACGATTGTGTATATCAAGAAAAATATCATTCGATGTAAAGTCGAAGTTTACATCTTTAATCAAAAGGACCATCAACTATTTTAGTAAATAAATTTATATCATTAATTTCATGACGAAGAACTATATCAAGGCTGTAGTTTTCAGAAATAAGATCACCTTGACAACGAGTACCAGTAAAATTTGATTCCATGTATCCTACTAATCGTTCTTGTCCAAATGATCCTAAATGTGAAAATGCTCCAAACATTTTTGTGTTGAGCTTTGAAGTGTGAATGGATGCGAAGACCGAAATTTTCGAGGCCTCGATAGAATGAACGAAAATCTTGATAATATTTCATGAGTAATGCATCAGCAATCTCAGATGTTTTATAACCAAACAGACTAGTATGAAAGACTCTAAACATGCCACTTTCTTTGGACTAAGCTATCCTATCAACTCGTTTAAACTGATCAATAATGGAAAGAAAAGAAGTAGAATGTAAGTAGAAAAATTTTTCAATATCTATATCATTTGTTAAAAATGATCGATGGATAATCAGATGCATTTAGAACCTAGACTAAATAATAAAATAATAATCAGTTTATTGCCTGTCTCTTACTGAAGCCTTCGCAGATTGGTTATTAACAATGACATGCCCAGGAATTTTTTCCAGGAGCATCGATCCTCCAAGTATGGGAAAACCATAGTGAAAGAAAGGTTTTCGTTTTACAAAATTTTCTTTTGCCGTATCCCCTTCCAGTACTTTTCTCGACCAGGAGGATTTGTTTCCCCAATCCCCTTTCTAGACACATCACTGATGATTAAGCATGATCTGTTATACTATGATTACGGAAATGAATGACATGCATTTTTTTTAGCTAGGACGACAATCAAAGAGTCTGCCATAATCATTAGTGAGGTCAAAGATAGACAATACACTTTGTGCATTCCTATCTTTCTTTGTATATTCTATTATATTTTGTATTTTCATATCTTGAACATGTATAAAAGTATATCAAAACATTAAAAAGTGGAAGTAGCTACAAAAAACAATAGTTATCTCGCAGCAAGGAGTGCTAATTTATATATTTTAAAATTATTAGATGTACTAAATTTAAAAAAAGCTTAAAAATAATTGAAATCTTTTTATATCATAATTTTATCTTAAATATCAGTTCTAATAATTTTTTAAATTTAAAAATAAATTTAAATGAAGCAAAGTTAATTTAATTGTTAATTGAAGATATAGTGATTGAAATTTAAAGGTAAACACAATCATGGTATGAAAAGATCAAGATTCGTTTCAATATAAATAGGTTTTTTATTTTTGCATTTAAAATTTATTTTTTTAATATAACTAATTACTCCTACTCAATAACAATTAAAAAATATTTCTCCAAAAAATATAAGTTTTTTTTGACTTTATTTTGTTTAATGTTGTCTAAATAATATCGTATTCTGTAAAAGATAAACTTTTATTTAAATGCAAAAAAAAAAAGACTTTGAGTAAAACTATATTAAATAGCATCTTAGAGTGATTATGAACATGTAGAAGTTGATGTGTTGATCATATGACTCAATGGTCTAAATGATGGATAAGTGATGCATTGTATGCATGTTCGAATCTTACTTTCATCTTTACACATTTTTATTTAGACTAGTCTGAACTCATCCACTATACAAGACTACAACTTGTCCTATGTACTGTCCCTGACGTCCTTACTTTTTCAATTTTAAATCCATTTCGGATGGGTGTCGCTGTTACCCGTCCTGACTAGTCTTTTTACCCGTTCTTTGCTCGCCTGGGAGATAAGTTTGTTATTGTCAAAAGTGCGCTAGAAACATGTTGTGAATATTAATTGATGAAAGTGACACAGATAATAGTCGATAGTATCTTATACTGTCGGTTCCGATAAGTTCCAACTATCGGAAAGTAATGGATCCTACCATTGGAATCTTGGAGAGTCTGACTGTCGGAAATCAAGAGATATAACGGGGATTCCGACAGTTGAAATCCGATCGGCTTCAGTTGTCGGATTATTCAGGGATCTGTCAGGATCCTGTTGGGTAGATACACCCTGGGAAAATAAATTTTAATGAATTCATGGGTAGAAATTATCCCAGCTATTTTCAGCGAGAAAGTAATTTAATTTATCAAATTTTCAATATCGATGATATTTTGGTGTAATTATAGTTATTTCAACAAAAACTGAATGGTCATACCGCGAAGAAACAATATCGAAAATGTAACATTGACGTATTTGTTGTTGAATTATTTGACTAATTTCGTCTGTAATCAGTTGGTCTTATATCCGAGTACATCAATCTGTTCAATATTATAAAAATTCTTGTGTTTTTTAGATATTCTTTATATGTTTTAGAATAATTTTTGAAATGATTTTGATGATATATACATCAGCGAAATGACCTTTTTCATGATTCTTTTTATTTTCAGATATAAATTAAATTCTACATATCTTATTCCATCTACATTTCAAAAACATAATATTTCTTCCATGCTATTATTTGTTTTCTATGAATCTGATACATAATCGAAAATTAGTGACAGTCTTGATACGACGAAAATTTTAATCACAAATCTTTTAAGATTTCTATTTTTGAGATACAATAAAGCAAAAAAGTGAAACATTGGGAAAATTTAGAAGGTATGGTTGATTCCAAATATACTAATATTTTAATAGGACACCTAAAGTTACTGTAGGATGGTACCCAAAGGAGTACCAAAGCAGTACTTGAAAGTACTGATTTACTAGATAATTTTGCAGCAGGGTACCTAAAGTACTTCAGTACTCTTTAGATCCTGGGACATACTAGTAGCCGGGTACCTTGTACTCAGTACTTGCACTAGTGTTGTATCAAAATGTTCGTTATTTATTAATTTTCTGGACAACATTATCTGTATTAACAGCTTCTGCTGAAAGAAGTTTCAGTCAATTATCGAGAATTAAAATTTATTGTCAGTCTACTATAAACAAAATAGACTAAATGGACTTGTTTCTGCATATATTCATAAAGATCTCGATATAAATCCAGATGGAATATTGAAATTATATACACAAATGCATCACCGTCGTCTTGATTTTGGTGTTTGAATTTGAAATTTAAATATTATAAGCAAAGACATTAAAAAATAGACTAAAACACACCTGATTCAAGCGTAAGATTCCAGTTTGATGCATATTTTATTAAAAGAACTTTATTTCATTAGTTGTTGAGAGAGAAGTTTGCCCATTGATCTAAAAATCCTGGTTACGCCGCTGTTGAAATAGATTCATATTTAGTATAATCTAGATAATTATTTTTCGAAAAAAAAAATCTTCACAAATTATTTTTATGTTTAGAGAAAAACGAATATCAAGTTAAGAATTGAGAAAAAAGATCGCAGCAATCTACAAAACTTCTGCGGTCAGATAATTTATCAATAACACGACCTTAAAAAATAATCTTTCTCATTTTTTTTAAAAATCTTTACTATTGCTTCTGTTTGTTTTTACAAACAAATAGAGTAAAAGATTTCATCATGAATGAGTAAAGAATTTCTTTTTAGTTCTCTGTTGATTCCAATTATTTTATGAATTGTAAAATACAGAAAATCATTGATCAATCATTAAAAAAAAAAGATGGAGGTTCAATGAGTATAACATATTGAACTAAATCATTATAACAATGAATTATATTATTTTTAAGAATGCTGATGGACATATTCCTTATGTACAACAAGCAACTTTGTAAAGAATTATTGATAAAAAAAAATCGATTGGTTCGACCTCTATAGAATACACGTCACCATATTTATTTATAGCTAGCTAAGTCGAGACTCTTTTTTTTTCCTTCTATTATCCTTGTCGCATATATTTCTTTTATGGTAGAGGTTACAATTCTGCTGCCCTCTTTCTCTATTCGTACTCTCATTTGTGTATATAAGATGCGATGTCGATAGAAGTAGATAATAGGCATTGCTGCGTAAACGTAAAAGAATATTTTTCTCGATAGATCCTTTCTAGATTGTTATATTGAAAAATGGCCAATGCTAAAAATGAACGTACTTTTATTATGGTTAAACCTGATGGTGTACAACGTGGTGTTGTCGGAGATGTTCTTCATCGATTTGAACGACGTGGATATAAACTTGTTGCACTTAAAATGATTCAGGTTTTATGAAAAATTTTTATTTTCCTTAATAAGTATTTTTTTTCATTTTAGGCACCGAAAGTTTTGCTTGAAAGTCATTATGCAGAACATAAAGGTTAAAACAAAAAAAAAATAATTATTATTAATTGGAGATATTTTATTTTTAGGCAAGAAATTTTATGAACCACTTTTGACATATATTGGTAGTGGACCTGTTGTTGCTATGGTATGGGAAGGTTTAAATATTGTTTCTGTTGGTCGTAAAATGCTTGGTGCTACTGATCCAGCTAAATCTGAACCTGGAACTATCCGTGGTGATTATGGGATTGTAACAGGACGGTAGGAAATTATTCATTTTTTGTTTTTGAATATTTTATTTAATATTTTCTGATTTCTAGTAATATTGTTCATGGTAGTGATTCAGAAACATCTGCACAACGTGAAATTGATTTATGGTTTCGACCTGATGAAATCAATCAATGGCCACATACAGCTGAAAAATGGATTTATGAATAAAATTAATCAATTCATAGGAGAAAAAACAATAAACTAAATTATCTTAACCTTTTTTTTTTAATTAGTTTTTATTTTAAAAAATAAACCCCTTATAGAATAAACATTATTTATCAATCTGAGCGACGATTTTTCAACCAATTTTCTAAATCATCCAAATGAACTAAAATTAATTCAGCAAAAAGTGAATTAACCCAAGCAAACCTAAAATCATCACCATTAAAATTAAAAAACAACAAGATATTGATTTGATTTACCAATGACGAGTAAAGTGTTTTGGATTGTTAACATTAAAACTTTCATGCATAGAAAATGTTCCAGTATGACTTATTTCTAATCTTTTCCAAACACTATCAAGATTTTCTTTCGAATTATTTGTTAATCCTTCCATTATAATAGACATTGGCCAAACATATTTTTTTTCTGTATGATGACTACCAATTCCATATGCATATTGACCTTGATAAAATAAAGGATTATCTTTTGATAAAATGAAATTTCGTGTTGATATAATTAATTGATCTTGTGGATCATAAGGTGTTTTAAAACCAAAATAAGATGCTGAAAGAAGTGATGGAACATTAGCATCATCAACAAGTAAAGTTTGAGAAAAACCATCTGTTTCATATGCATAAATTTGACCATATTTATCATGTTTAACTACTCCATATGTATGAATACCTGAGAGAATATCTACATGTAATTGTTTGATCTATATTACAAAAACAAACGATTTCTTTTTAAAGGAATAAGGCAGATAAGACCCGTTCCTGACCCAAAAACATTTAGGCTATTTTGCATTGAAATTATGTCAAGGAATGCTCGGAAGCATTCCCGGACAGTTAGTTTCACGAAATCCCTCAGTCAGATTTTTTAGGACTGCAGCCTTCTACAAGATTTCTGAAATTTTTTTTATTTTTCCCAAACTGACCTGATAATATGTAATCGACCACACTGATCACAAATATCCATATGAGAAGTGTCAAAAATGCTTTCAGAAAGAGTAATCCTCCATTTTATTGCTCTTAGCAAAAAAGGCTATTTTACTGCCCTCCTCGTGGAGAAAACACAGAAAAAACACAATATTTTAGTAATCAGGATGTAGAATTTTACTCTGAATCCAAATATGCCATCAGAGAAGTTATTCAAGTTGAAACTTTTTTGAAAATTGGCAAAAACTGGCTAAAAGCGCGGTTTTTGACAGTATTTGCTCTAAATGATCCAGACACACCCCCAGTTACATCGTAAAATTTTTATTAGATGGATAATTCTTTGCGCTCTATCTGATGATGGCAAAAAAAAAGAACTGCAAAAAGTTGCAGAAGAGATTTTTTGGAGGGGCTTCAGAAAGTCATCTCAAGATCTTTTGTGGTTCTAAACAAAATAACACCGCGATGATATTTAGCGTGATGAAAAGCCTATTTTCATGTGCTTTTCGTTACTTTTACTATTAATATTTGGTCAGTAAAACTTGATTAATTTTACATGTAAATCAGTCTGAGGTGATGTCAAATAAGTCTAAGTTCTTCTTTTTTCGGTCAAATATTAATAGTAAAAGTAACAAAAAGCACATGGAAATAAGTTTTTGATCACGTTGAACACTGTGGTGATATTATTTTGTTTGAAAGCACAGAAGACCGTGGGAAGATTTTCTTTAGACCCCTAAAAACCTCTTCCACAACTTTTTCTGTTCTTCTTTGCCATTAGCAGATAGAGTGTGAAAAATTACCCATCTAATAAAAATTTGACGATGCAATTGGGTGTCTGGCTGAAACTCCGCCGGAGTCATTTAGGGCGAATACTGTCAAAAACCGCGCTTTTAGCCAATTTTCAAAAAATTTTCAGCTTGAATAATTTTTCTCATTGCATATTTGGATTCAGCGTAAAATTCTACATCTGAATTACTATATATTGTGTCTTTTTCGGTGCTTCCTCCACTAAAAGAGCAGCGGAATAGTCTTTTTTTTCTGAGAGCAAGAAAATGGTGGCAAATGGAAGATTACTCTTTCCGAAAGCATTTTCAACACTTTTCGTAGGAATATTCGCGATCAGTGGGTCTAAAAAACTGATTGAGTGATTTCACGAAACTAAGTGACTGGGAACGCTCTCGAGCATCTCCTGACCTAGTTCCAATGCAAAAAAGCTGAAATATTTTTGGGCCAGGAAAGGAGCTTAACTGTGCTATTCCTTTCTTTATAAAATCTTGATACTTGTTCTAGAAGTAGAACTTGTTCTGGAAATATTTCTTTAATCATTTCAGCTGATTGTTTTAAAACTACAGTTGCCATCATATTACTTGGAATAAGATAACCAAACTTAGTTTTATCATCACTTGGTCGAAATCCAGTCCATGTCATACCAGTATATGCAACAGGTGATCCTTGATGATTATTTCCTAATTCAGTGTAACGATAAGGTGAAATTTGTGAATGATGTTGTTCAATAATCATAATTTGTATAATAATGTTAACAGCAATTAACCATTGTTGATTAAAAGGATTAATTCGTTTCGTTTGTTTCCACCAAGTATAACTTAAACGTAAATGATAACATAAACTATCTAATTCATAATTATGCATAGCAACATGAATATTTCGACCTTTTTGAATATGAATTGGTTCTAAAGAATCATCTGATGGAGGATTTGGACGAAGTGTTAAACGAAATGAACTAGCATAAGGATTTGAATAAATAAATTTTGTTTGACGACGAATAAGACCTTCAATTATACGTTGAATATCTTTATCATTTGATATGCTCATCATATATTGATGAACTTGAGCACTAGAAGATCAAAAAAAAAAAAAAGAAAGATTTTTATTTATTGATTTTGTTTTGTATATATTCTAACCTACTATCACGTAACCACATGAGATCAATATCACCTGTTATAATATAAGTTGTATTATCATCAAGTAAGGTTGTTGTTGTAGCCAGTGTATCAGCATAAGATTTTGTAAATAATTTACACCAAATATCTCCATAAACTTGATTAGCTTTATTTAATCGTTGACATACACGATTTATTTCATTTTTTACAGATTGTGGTACTATTGTATGATTATTTATTGGTTTAGGAATATGTTGATTTAATAATGATGTTAGCTGATAAGGTACAGAAGGATATTCGCTTGTTGGTAACCAAATCCATGGTTGATCATTTGAAGACATAACACTATTTAACAATATTTTAAGTTTTTCAAGTGCTTTTCTAGATCGTTCAATTGTACTTATTGGATTATTATTCAAATCTTTTGATTTTGAAATAAAAGATAAAGATTTTTCATGGTTTGTTAATGATGAACATTGAAAAAAATAATGAAGAGAAAAAATATTTAATAAAAGACTAATAAAAATAATTAAACCAATAAGTTCTAGACGAGTATATTTTGTTCGTATTCGAATTAGTTTTGATAGAATTGATATTAAACGATAAATAAACATCGAATAATAACTACGATAACGTTCTAGTAAAGTAAATAATGAAAACATGTTTTTTTCTTCATAATAGTTTGATGACATTTTATTAGAAAAAGAAATTACAAAATAAAGAAAAGAAAAGCATCATTCTTTCAAATGCCATATGGAGTCAGGGATGTAGCAAAGAGAAAAAGAAAGTGAAGGGTTGCAAGAAAATATTCTTCACAGCGGGAAAGATACGCATACGAGTTTTTGAAAGTAATCGGTGCAAATTTTTTTTTTTATTCTACAACTTTTTTTTTAAATAAAAATAACAAGTTTGGCTGAGAAAGAATGAAAATTTTCTTAAGGTAGGAAGACGCGCATCTTCCTCGTTGTCACATCATTTTAAGGAAATAAAAAACGCCGATTATTTTTCTTACTTGATAAAATTCTAACATATATTCATTAGTTGACAATCGATTGGTAAATGTCTATCTGTTACCTCATTGATAGAAGAAAACTATGTTCTTTTATTTACTTGATTGCACAAATCTAATGTGATCCTTAAAAGAATAATATAATTATATATTTGAAGAAGAAATAATAATTTTGCGTATATAGTTGAAAATAGTTATGTGTCATAAGTAATGTGTCGAAGTAAATAACGAATTTTCTCTTCTTATTTAATTATTATTTATTCTTTTATATGTTTGTGGATTGATGGGAAGTTAGCTCTTGCGAATAAAAAGAATTATGCGTCATTTATTTTGATAATTGTTCAAACCTTTTTATATTATATCTTTTCATAATCAGTTATCTTTTAAAAACTAACGATGAAAATTTTTATTATATTATTATCTTCAAGGTCATTTCATCTTAAAAGTAAAATATTCTTGCATTCTTAATGATAATTTAATGTTTTATTTTTAAATAGTGCTTTTTCTTTTCTCATTTTATTATGTTTATCGATCTCCATCTCAATATGAAAATGTATTTTCTTTGAATCAAAAGATGTTCACAATGAAAAAGACACGCGCCTCAGTTTTCATTGGATTATTGTATACGATGTCGGCATTCGTTTATCTGATGTTCTAGTTCATAAAAAGTATTCCATCGTATGATGTTAATGGGCTTTTTTATAAATGAGGTGATCATAATATTTTAAATGTTTGGTATTCCTCTTGAGAAAATGTTGTCCTAAATCTTGAAAATGTTCCACCTCTATCAAACAGTTCAGGTCGACGATTACGGACTTTGTATACATTTGTAAACGACTATATACGCTCTCTACTGTGATCATATACGGAGAAATACAAAGCAAAATGGAGGTTGCATAGGGACTCAATATACGAGTATCGTACATGACTGCTTCTTTCTCCGTATACGATACGGAGATATACGAGCGTATTTTTTTGACCGAGAAGTATTAGAATTGAGAAAAATAAGAAAAAAATACGTACCAATGGAATTTTATACATTTATTAGAAAAAAAAAATACAATTTTTACTTTGCTCAAGAATGGATGTGGGTGTAGGTCTTCTCTTCACCCATACCCACACTCACACCATTCATGCATGCACACCCGCATTCCATATCCACAC